AGCTATAGTTTATATATTTTATCTACTAATATTTACCACATTCAAAATAAAAAATGAGAAATTTAGAAACTATTTATAAATTTATTTTTAAAAATAGTAATAAATATTAATATAAAACCCATTAAATGTTAATGTAAATAATATATTTTAAATAAAAACATATCTTCCAAAAATATATTTAGTAAGAACATCGCAATAGTTCTAGTTACGCCAACCGTTCAATGATAACTTCATTATTCTCATGTCTGCTTCTGCCTCCAATCTGCTGTGATTTCATACATCGTGTACCTCTGGAAATCTTCAGGATGCATTTAGGGAAGAATGATAGTGATGAAAGCAAATAATAGTTTTGTATCATTGGGAAAATACTTTTGACCTCACAGATCCCGAAAGTATCTTGGGGACTCAGAGGCCCCTCAACTTTGAGAATCACTGGAGTAGGCACACTGGGGAGTGCCATGGTCATGGTGTAATTAGATTTCAGTGAGGTGCTTGGCAGTCTCAAGTGAGACAATTACATCTGGCCACCCTGCTTCTCACTAACGGCAGCTGTGCCCAGAGCAGCTTTGCGCTGGTGTATAAGTCACACAGCTCCTGGGCCTCAGCTGTGAAATGAAGTGGTAAGATGAGAACATCTCCAAGGATTCCCCTCCCCTCCCCCGTACCCCCCGCTTCCCCTGCTAAAATAATGTGCTTATAAGTCTGCATATAGTAGGTGCTCAGTACATTTTTTTAAAATGAATATATGAATAAATGAATAAAGAATGCATATGTTGTTGAAGGGACTTTTGCATTGAGTGGAAAATTTTGGACTAGAATTCAGTAGTCACAAACACACATACCTTTGGACCATGTCTTAAACAGATGAAATAGACAGATTTGAGACAGTGAGGAATGGTGGGGTCTATGATGAAATGGAGGGCTCATATCCTACTTAAAGGAAATAAATTTGAGATGTTGTATTAGACACTATTCTAGACTAAAAACATGGGCAGATGAGTTAGGACTCCTGAACAAGATGCTCACTTGGGTTTTTTCTAACTTGAAGCAGAGCCTTCCTAGACCTCTTCCTAGAAGACCAGTGTTCCCCTCTTTCTCCCCTCCATCTAAAACTATTCGTGGGAAAGGACCTAATAAACTCATTGAAGACAACCTCAGCCAGTGAGGCCAATATCAAGAGATATTTTCATTTTTATAGCGTTAGTCCTAAGCCAAAATCAGGGAGCTCTGATTGTGGAATTCAGGCATCAGTGATCAGGCCAGAGCAAGGAGCCTTGGCCATGCTCCAGAATCCATGCCACATGTGCCTACGTGCCCCAACCTGGGAGCTGAAGCGCTACCTATAAAGACCTTCTCCACAGAATCACAGGTGCTTTGATCATCAGAAACATTTCTCCTGGGAATCTATGTCCCAGGGAGGTCTCAGCTAAGGCAAGCCTCACCTGGAGCCAGGGCTTTCCTTTCTAATAGGAATTCACTTTCAGCCACTCACACCCAAAAATCTGCTACAGTTAAGCAGTCTCTGGTGCCATATCACAGGGTTTCCTGAAGTGCTGTACTCCTCCAGTGGGATTTTTAATAAATGCTGAGATGAGCAGCCTGGTACCTTCTCAGAAAACAGATTGGGAAGTAGGTAAACTCCTTCCTGAGTGCCCCGCCCTGCTGCTCTGCATTCAGTAGGCCCAGGTCACGGGGGTGTTCTGAGGACATCCCTACTGAGCCGTTATTGGAAGAACCACAGAAGGGTGGGAGAAGGGAGACGGGTCCTTGCACCTCCCAAGGAGTGGTAGATCTAGAGTGTGGATTGAACAGCAACCAGTCAATATTATAAAGCATCCTGATTTACCAACTGACTTCATACAGACACCACTCTGAGACCCCGTGGCCTCTGACAAGAGAATTCTCTCTCAGTTTCTGGTCACAGTAATGGAGGGCAATGGAGCTTTCTCCATTAGTAAAAATCAGTGCTATCATGACCAAGGTCATTACAAAACAAAAGTGGCTACATGGTGGAGGATAAAAGTGACAGAACCAATCTAGGGTGGCTCAGGGATGACCCACCCTAGGTGTCTTGATCTGTGTGGAAGAAGGGGAAGATGAAGGAGTTTGAGAAGGAGTGAAGGGGAGCCATTTCCTCTGCTTTTTTTTTTTTTTTTTTTTTTTTTTTTTTTTTTTTACTATATCTGTGATTGAAGGCTGGCTCGCTTGAGTCCCTGGCAGGAGAGTTTGCCTCAGGCATGTGGGAGGTGAGGCATCATGAGGCACTTCCCCAGTGGAGTTCCCACTGGGCAGGGATGTGGCCCGTTAAGTTTCCTCACAAAACTCAACCTAAGTTGTCTATCAAGCTAAGCTTGTATTTTTTGTTGTTATTTGTTTTTTCTTTGATGATGGCGGTGGGTGGGGCTTCTGTAGAATGGAACTTCACTATGCTCTATTCCTCCCTGTAAAATATAAGCATACTTCAGTACAAGCTGCCTGGCCACCTCCCCAAACATCTCAGACACATACTAACATTCTGCCCATTCACTTTGGATTTAGCTTGAATTTTGCTGAGCTCATCATGATATTTAGCTAATATTTTAAAACTTGTTTATTGTTTATAATCCATTTCCCTCATTAAAATATAAACAGGTTAAGGGCAAGTACCATGCGTATCATATTCTTAGTTGATTAGAACAGTTAATAAGGTAGATACTCAGCACATATCTCCAAATGGTGTAATGACTGATTTCATCACTGGACTTTGTTTGGTGGAGTGTTTGCCCATGTGCATTCTATATTGTGTTCCATTTAAATTCTTAGGTCATGTTTATGCTTGAAGAAAATTCTTGTGTATTGTTAATGGTCCCTTCTTTGAAAGGGTCTTCTGACCTGGCCTTGGCTATCAGTTTAATACAGTTCCAGTAATACCTATGGAGTGTGGCATTCTGTAGGTTCTTTTAATAAAGCCCTTGGACCTCAGATGTAACAGGAGGGAGATGTTGAGGGCTCGTCAGCTAGGCACTGTTCTCAAGGACTTTAGAGACTAGTATGGGAGGTCAACATGTAAGCAAACAATAATATAGATAGAGATGCTCATGCATACAAAGTCTGGAGGAAAGGTGTGGAGGTCGAGGCAGGAACTAAGGAAGGTTTCAGAGAGGAAGAGCCTAGAAGGATTTGGGAGGATGAGAAAGAATTTAGTGCAGGTGAGGGATGGAGTGGGTGGAGGTTGGGATATAAAATGGAGGAATGAAGCAAAATGATGGCATGTTTGTGTGTTTTCAAAGTTCTGTAATAATTAGGGCTTTACCTGGGCTGGGCTGAAGGGGCATTTTGGGATCCCCTCCAATGGCCCCAAATAGTCTGCTTCTCTAGAACGTGAACAAAAACTCTTTGGTCCAGGAACTCCTAAAGCCCTACTTCCTTCAAGGCCATGCGCGGCTTTGCCCTGGGAGTCCTTTCCCTATAGTGGCTATTAAATGATGAACTCACACAAAGTGCCCAAACTCATATTGAAGAGTAGATGTGAGTTAAAGGAAGGTGTGTTGTGGCAATTACTCCACAAGTGTCCTGATATTTAAAAAAAAAAAAATCACACCCAAGGTCATCTAGATTTGCTGTTATGTCATTCTTCAAATTTTCTTATCAATCCCTTCACCCCTGTTTTGCAGACCCAGGTTTAGAGAGGTCCAGTGATTCTTCAATGCCACTAAATAAGTGCTGGGCCTGGATTTCAAACACAGGTCTGTTCGACCTGAGAGTCCAGCCTGGAGACCATCTCCTTCATTCCACATCTGTGTCCTTGAGAGCAAATCTGGGAACCTCTAGGTTGGTTCACTTGCAGGGTCGGATGAATTCTCTTAGTTTTGTTTTGTTTTGTTTTGTTTTGTTTTGTTTTGTTTTGTTGTTTTTGTTAATCCTCACCTCAGGATATGTCCATTGATTTTTAGAGAGAGTGGAAGAGAAGAGGAAAGACAGAGAGAGAAAAACATCGATGTGAGAGAGACACATTGATTGGTTGCCTCCCACACAAGCCCCAACCAGGGCCAGGGATCGAGCCTGCAACTGAGGTATGTGCCCTTGACCGGGATCAAACCTGGGATCCTTGAGTTCACAAGACGATGCTTTATCTACTGAGCCAAACTGGCTGGGGCAGATGGTTCTCTTTAAGCACTGAGATTTTAGGACACAGATAAGAGCACACAGAAGAATGGGCGCTCCCTTCACCTTTTTGACCCAAAGACCTGCTACTGAATTAGGTCTTCATGTGCCTGCAGGGTATCCCTCATGTATCATTGTCACTCGTGTCCCAGAATGGCAGCTCAGTCTTAGGGGTGATAACCTGTAGAATTGTGGCTGAACTGGGAGATTGAACTCCTAATTTTTGCTGGTGGGATTTGAATTTGGTGGAGATGATTCACGAGCAAATGAAGAATTAGTGTGGTTTTACAATGTTGTTATGAACTTTATGATGTGAGTTGATGGTTTCATGTAGCCCTATAAAGCAAGATGGCAGAGAGTGATTGCATCATGCCCTCTGCGCTGCCGATGGAGATGAAGCCTTCTTTAGTGCTTGAGATATTTCCTGATGCTCCGTTCAGGCCAGCCCAGTATTCAGATTTTAATATGTTCCTATAATGGGTGTGGAGGGGGAAAAAAAAAGAGGAAGAAGGCGGGGAAACCTATTAGCCCAACTAGTTGTACTGCCATTCCTGGTAATGATGAATGGTTAATATCAGAGCAGAGCCCCAAAACCTACAGAAACAGGCCTGCTTGGCTTGGGTACCAAATAAATAAGCCAGTTACACATTTCTTGGATGGCTGGCAAAGGTTTTGTCATCATAGCAACTCCCCCATCCAGCTTGCTCAGCTTATATGAGTTGTCAGCCTCTGACCCAACCCCAAGCTCCTGAGGGGGAGGAGCTGGCCCTTGTCTCTTTCTCATTTATAACTAACTCCGAATGAGGGGGAGGGCCAGGCAGGGTTGCCTCCTGCACACGCTGCCGGCCTGAGTTACATTCACAAATGCCTTGGAAGCAGCAGGCTGCCTGCATCCTTCTCATCACATTCCTGGGTGTGTCTGGGCTGGTTGGCGCAGTTACCAGAACATACCACATTGGGATTGTGGAAGAATACTGGGACTATGTACCCCAGGGGAAGAACGTTATTACTGGGAAAAGTTTCGCAGAAGACAAGTGAGTGAGCATGGGGTCCCCAGAGACTCCCAGGTTTGGCTTCCTTTTCACTGGCACGTGGAAGGTTGTATTCCTTGGGTGGTGGTGATGGGGGGGAGTTGATGTCAATCAACAAGAAGGGTTTTGCGTTTGCTTGGAAAGCCCAGTCGGGGTGGGTGTGCAGTTTGGAAGAGACATTCTTCACTCCATCTGTTTGCTGAACTTTCTATTCAAAGCCTTGTCTGTGAAGAGCCACAGCACAACCAGGTGCTTGAATAATGGCTCATTCTATATATGGACAGTTTTCATGAGACATCTCTAGTAATTCAAGGAAGTTCTAGACTCTGGTTTTTTTTTTTTTTTTTAAAAAGAATGGCAATCTTTGGGATGGAAATTTGAGAATTTTCAAGAATTCTTCAGTGTTAAAACACACAGTGTTTTCTTAGTTTTTATTTTTTGGAATGAAACATCATTTTTGTGTTTGATTTGTAATGTTTAAGAGAGGGACAGTTACAATAGATTTGGCTGGCGGTTAAAGAGCTTCTTTGAGTCCATTACAAATGGCTTTTTCACTGGTGAGAGGCTTGTTCCAGCCCCGACTCATTCAATCTGAAGGCAATAGCCTATGTCCAGAGCCCATGGTGTAGCTGGGTGAGATGGTTCTAGAATATTCTATATCCATGATTTTTTATTTTTGCTGAATATAGCCCTCGTTTCCTGTTTTCCTTGTGGGGTCTAATGTCTTATATTTTTTATCTGTTCCCTGGAGATCCCTCTGATGTCACCCCCTGGCTCCAAAAGTTGTTATGCATATTTTCAGCTTTGTGCTTCTTAGAACAACTTTTGAGATGTTCTGGTAACCACTGTTGGATATTTGGATGCTTGTTTCTTTTCTGATAGGCAGAGCCCATTGCAGTCAATATTCAAGTTCCATTTTCTAAAGATGAAATTAGTTGCTAAGATTCAGTAAGAGCACAGGGTCTACCAGCAAGTCTTTCGAGCCAGGTCCCCCTGCCCTGGGCAAAGAACAAAGATCCAGTTGGCTTGGACACACGGCTTCTAGGTTATGCCACAACGGTGACACAGCCATAGCCATAGGTGTTTTGTTTGTTTGTTTTAAAATTAAAGGGTGATGCTTGTGCCAGCCAGGCTGCCAAGAACGTCTTTTCCTTAAGCTTTGTACCAGGAAATTTAATGTACAGGGGCTATTTCCAAAGAAAGCTCTTGACTTCTTTGAATCCTACCTGTGCTGGCCTTTGGTGGTGGTAATCTTCCCTGGACATGGGATTGAAAGGCTACCCTCCCTGCTGGTGCCCTTCCCAAAAAATAGGATTCTGCCATTCTCAAAAAACGCTCAATAGAAAATGGTCGTGAGCAACCATTGGACGCAAGACTACTCAAGATGTGTGTGTTGAGTGTAGTGAGTTTATTCCTGAGCTCAGTGTGATACTGGACGACCTTTCCATATGGTTGAGTAAAAGAGAATGCTATCTTTCTCCTTACATGTCCATGTCAGTATTCTTTGATCTTTGTTCTTACATAGGAATTCCATTAGAAACTTTCATTTCATTGCTGCTTGTACATATTATTATTCCAATTTTACAAGCCAGGAGCTGAGGTTCCACGAAGTACTTGGCAGAGTTTATAGAGTGAAGGTAGCACCAAACAACATTGCTTTAGCTCCAGAGCCCTCCCCACCCTGCTTTAAACCATGAAACTTGTTTCTTGGCAAAGGTGATCCTTTCCTGCTGAATTAAACTCAGCTTTGCGGAAGCCAGGGATTCCAGTAATTAGAAGTTCTAGAAAGAACCAATTCTTACCAAAGACAGGTTCAGTCCACTTGTCACTCTTCTCAGAGAGACACTGAAAGTGATCACTCATGTCAGTGACCAAAACTGGTTACCTATTCATTGAGAAGCCCAAAATACTTAAAACCTCAAATATTGGAATGCTGTTTCCACAAAGCTGGGTGCAGGAAGGAGTTAGGGGCTCTCTTTTCAGCCATAAGATGGTGCTTTGAAGAAAGCACACAAAAAATGTATAGCCCTGGCTGGGTGGCTCAGTTGGTTCGAGTGCATCCCATACACCAAAAGGTTGGGTGTTTGATATGCAGTCAGGGCATATATGGAAGGCAAGTGATCGATGTTTCTCTCTTGCATCTCTCTCTCTCTCTCTCTCTCTCTCGGTGAGGATTTAAAAAATGTATGAAAATAGTTTTGGTGAAAAAGAAATGGAAAAAAGAGGCATGACTAAAACACAGTTTGGTATCCGAGTAGAGTGAGATGGTTTAACAAATGTGGTTTCACATGAGAGGACTCCTGCCTTTAGGGACAGCTAGCATGTATATGTCATATTGGATCCAAGGTCCCCACATGCTTCCCCCTGGTGTGTAAAGAGACAGATTAATGCAGGGTGGCTCCTGACTCTTGAATGGGGAGTCTGGTTGAGTGTGCCATGTATATTCGTTTTTATCAACAGTTATCTCAGGAGGTGCTACTGGTGAGGCAGGTGGCTCAGGGCAAGTCCCCAGGAAGGCTGCTGATCCTTGTTTGAAGAATACAAAACACATGTCTCAGATACTATAGTTCACAGTTGTCACAGCTGTCACATGTGAAGATGCCACGATCGTGGATCATGTATGTGTGCTCTGCGTGGTGCCATTTCCCCAGGAGCAAGGAATCATCTTGGATGATGCGGCCATGCTGTCATTCAGAGTCCTGCTGGATGAGTAGGTGGCGTTTCTGAGGACGGTCTGCTCTTTGGATATTCAGAACCAGACAAATGCCTGGTATTTAGAGGTCCCCAGCATTCCACTATGGGTGGAAAGAACCTGAAATAGGAATCAGGAGACCTGACTTCTAGTCCTTGCTCTGCCCCCAACTTGCTGTGTAACCTTGAGCAAGCTACATCGTCTCTCTGAACATCTATTTCTTTAATTTGTATAATGAGGGAGTTGAAATATAATCCCTAAAGCTAATTGGCAAAAGTTAGGAGAAGAGGAAAGCGAGTGCTAAAGTTTCAGTGACGTAAAAACGCTTGGAAGCCAAAATTAGGCAGCAATAAGAGTCTAATGAATCCTGATTCACAAGAATGAGATAGAAAATGCACTGAAACCATTCTACTGAGACACTAGAGCAGTCAGATGATGCAATTTAACTTTCCAACGTGGTGCCTTTGCTGGATCACAGGGTTCAAAAACATAATTGAGATTATATCCACTAACATTTTTTTCTAGGAAGTATAGGATATAGGAGTTATATTCTACCTAGAAATATTTTTCCTCGATGAATATATTCCCCCTCTTCCCTCTTGTGCTTAATGGGGACACAGGGCTCCTTTGATCTGCCTGGGGACGGTGTCAGCATTTGATCCATCGCGCCAGTCCTGCTCGAGCTCGTAAAGCACTTTAAGGCGTGACTGTGCTTCGGTGGCAAAGCCTGGTCTTTCATGGAGCCAGAGTGGGCTCACTTTATTTAAAGCCACAGTTCTCACCAAAGCCCTCATTAGGCAACCCACACGTGCAGGCTTCTGCTTCCCAGTGAAACTCAGAGGTTTTTGTGGGCACTAACTCACAGGCAGAACCACACTTGAATGAGTGTGGCTGGCAACTGCTCAAACCCCAAGTTTAGGGAGTTCACCAATCACAACACTGTGTAAGCCCAGTTGATGGCACAGGGTTTTGAGCAGGCTCCAGGATGGGTTGAAGGAGAGACCTGCATGTCTACTGAAAGAGTCAACTGGAGGAAGCAGGTGGGAGAAGAGAAGCTTTAAAATAAAGGGAAGGATTTCCTCTTTTTAGAGCTTAGTCTTGGACAGAGAGTGACTTTCAAATCTCAACTTTTATCTTATCAGCAGAAAAACATCTCATGGGGCCTGATGTCATGTGACTCTCTTGGGGTTGCTGTTATTTCCCTCTATCGGTTAGTGATTGCTTTTGGCTGCCAGTAGTGACAAGAATAGTGTGGCTTAAACAAATTAGGGTTTTGTACACTCTTCTCAAAGATATCCAGATGTGGGCAGGGCAAGGTTGTTGGGACAGCTGGTATGATAGGATTTCAGGGGCCTTAGCAATTTCTGACTCAACATCCTTAGCATGTGATTTTACTCCTCAAGGAAGTTCATGGTCACAAGGCCGCGGCTGGAACTCCAGCCTTCATGTCTATGTTCCAGGAAGGAAGAGAGGAAGGAAAAAGGTAGAAGGAGCAAATTTCTGCTGCATCAGCCCTATAAAGCGCTCTCATGGATATGCCACCCAATGAATTCTACTTATATCTCATTGGATACTCCAAGCCTCAAAAGGAGCTTGAAGATATAATCTTTCATTTATGTGTTTTTTGACCTGAAAACAGTAGGATTTAATTCTTTTACTAATAAGTGGGACATGAATTTTGCAAGGCAGCTGGCAGCACCTGCCACCTTCCTCTTCCTCAGTTCTCCCTGTTTCCCATCCTTCACAAAACCCTCTTGATCCCCCTCTTCTCTTTCCCACCCCAAGGTCTGGTTAGTGGGATTCTAGAGAAGTCACCAACAACATTAATAGCTAAGTGTCATTGAGTCCTTACTATGTTGCGGGCATTGTCATAAAAGCTTTTCATGCCATGCATGCAGAGACGTGACAGATCTTCTGCCCAATCAGGGGGACCAGGAGGCCCAAGGTGGGTTTCCCCAGCCAACTGTGGCCCAGCAGTGGTCAGACAGAGATGCCAAGGCAGCCTGGCTTATTGGTGGATGTGGGGCTCTAGCATCAGCTTAGAAACTTAGAATTCTTGTTCCACGTACTAAACAAGTAATTGAATCTCTGCCTCAACTTTCTCATCAGTAAAATGGGGATAATGATAGTCCTTTCTTGGTGGTGGTTGTGGTGGGGGTGTATGAGTTTTCTGCGGCTGCTGTAACAAATTACCACAAACTGCGTGGCTTAAAACAATAAAAAAATGTATTCTCTCCCAGTTCTAGGGGCCAAAAATCTAAAGTGAAGGCATTGCCCTAACTGGTTTGGCTCAGTGGATAGAGCGTCGGCC